AAATAAAATGTCCAGGAGTCAAAGTAATTTTGTAGCAAATTTTCTTAGACCAGTTTGTGACTGGTTGATTGAAACTGCACATCAGAGATAAATTTTTGCTTTATCTTTCTAGTCTTCCTGCTTTATTTAGTTCTTTGGCCCTTTTTAGCCTTAAAGCCCTGTGCTCTACAAAACTAAGAACTCTAATTATTTAAACAGATAATGGAATTTGTAGTTTGCATTTGGCAGGCACAGAGATAGTATTTCCATGATTTTTCCCCCTGGAAACCTTCTAAAGTACCAAGAAATCAAGACATAAAATTACAGGGGCGACTAGGTGGCTCCATCAATTAAGTGACCAACCCTTGGTTTTGGCTCAGGTCATGATCTCATGGGTCATGGGATTAAGCTCTGTTTCCACTTCCAGCTTTCAGCTCAGTGGGAAGTCTGCTTGGGATCCTCTCCGTATGCCCCTCCCCCTAATTGTGGGCACTCCCATACTCTCTCTCATAAATACATAAATCCTTCAAAAAAGAAACAATATTATAAATTTTATTTCTAGCAAAACAAGAAGAGTGCTAAAACCTATGTACCCACATAAGTAGAAGAGCGTCTAAAAACTACACAAATATAACAAAAGAGTTTACAAAAGAAGGCAAAGAACACGCATGATATACTTAGCAAACAAAAATATAGCTCTGTAAACAGAGGGGCCCACTTTCCGCTGCAAATTTATGATATTTGGGATTTCTATTCGATGCAGTTGAATAGAATCCTAAATAATTCAGAATGTTACCAAAACTGAAGTGCTCTAGTAATAAAACCTAAATTCTGGATGCAGTTGAACAGAATGGGTGGAAAAAATACATAATAACTCAGATATTGTAGGTTGGAAAGCTGATGCCTTGTTATCCCTATAAGATATTTGAATAAATGTCACCTTGAAAAGAAAACCATGTGCTCACTGAAGCTGAAAAATCAGAGAATGTACTTGGAGTACAAAAAGACTGGAAAAAAAAATTGGAATGCTGGCACGGCATAAATCCTCCTTGCCTCTTCCAGTACTTACAAGAGAGAGCTGAACTCAGACTTGAAGTAGCCAGACTACAAGAGAAAAATGGAAGGAAAGGGGCGTCTGGGTGGCTCAGTGGCTGACTGTCTGCCTTCGGCTCAGGTCATGATCCCAGAGTCCTGGGACTGAACAACCTCATATCGGGCTCCCTGCTTGGCGGGAAGCCTGCTTCTCCCTCTCCCACTCCCCCTGTTTGTATTCCCTCTCTCGCTGTGTCTCTCTCTGTCAAAATAAATAAAATATTTTTTTTAAATGGAAGGAAAAATATCAATTTTGTAAGGGAGACATGTTCTGCCTACAGCTACTACATAATGTAATGAGAGATCTATAATTTGGAACTTGCAGGACTGAAAAAAAAAAAAAACAACCAAAACCCTAAGTATCCTATACCCCAAACTGAGGTGGTGATAAAACTGTAGGCTTAGCAGAACATAGAATTGACACTCCACATACAAAGTGCATAGCCTACCAGCAAGACCAGCACTGTGGTCTTGTTTTTCCTCCCAAACCCTAGGTTTTAAATGACCTTAGGGGACCGGCCAATAAATTAAGAGGAAGGGGCTGATCACAGCAAAGATCAGAGTCTGTAAATATATTCCTTGACTCTGGTTAATTTCATGTGGCATTAGATGAAAGAAAATTGACTAGAAGGGCAATAAGTTTGGGGAGAATTGTTTTGCTGACTTTGAGGACAGTGGACATCGGCCAACGATAAGTCAACCTGTAAAGCAATCCAAGGGTCCCTGAACCAATGTCAGCATAAAGTGGGTTATGAGAGGTGTGCAGCCTCCAAACCACACTCAGATATGACTGTGGAGAGCATGCACTAGAAGGAACTGCCCCGAGAATAGCACTTGGGCCCGTGAAGGACATGGACAGAGGACTGCTTCTCAGAGGGCAGAACCTGGCCTATCAGACTGGTTTACCGGGGAGCTCCCTTGGTTGCCCCTCAACTTATCATCCTTGACCAACAGGATTTGATAATTACTGCAGAAAAACAACTCCAGGTACTTCTTGGTGACCATAGAACCACTCAAACAGCTTTAAACTGCTTATCTATTTGGCTTATTTTAGTAAGAAAAATAAACTTTTTCTTTATCCATTTTTATTTGGCTTTCTTTTGGATGCTGCTAAACTTCATGCTAACTAATATAAAATACAATTCATAGGAAAACATTTAGATGAAAATGATCACAGACATACAATAATGCTTACACATGCCCAAACACAGGCAAAGTTCCCCCAAAAAAGTTATGTAGAGAAATATAGTCCATAGTTAGTTGTAGCCTGATACATGATGACAATAAATATTATGGAGACATAATATGACAACATAAAGTTGCATAATATGACTAAGTTAAGGTCAAATATGTCTCTCATCTCTAAAAAGTAATCCAATCAGAGTTCTTTTTAAAATAAATCTGAATTCTAGGATGAATACAAGTGATGTGCCTAGAACAAAATGATTCAGAAAGATTGAAAATAAGAGAATAGAAAATAAATAAAGCAATTGTGATATTAATATCAGACAAGTTTGATTCAGAACAAGAATCATTAAACCATAAAAAATGGGAAAGTCTGTAATATTAAAAAGCACAATTCATAATGACCACATAAAGGTCATAGGAAGATCTATGTCTGAGATGCACAGAGCATCAATTCATCAATTACATGATACAGTCACTGGTATACTCAGTGGAAAACCTATAAGGTTTTCCTTATGAATTTATGAACTAGGAAAGAATCAACATTAATTAGGCACTGAACTCAAGAAGTTAAATCAGTCAGAAATCAGAAAGGAATTAATAGAAAGAAAAATTATAATGAATTAGAAAATGAAAATAGTATTAATCTTCAAAAATCCAAATGCTGGTTCATTAAAAAAAAGCAAAACCAAACAAATTTTATCTAATAAAAGAAATTAAAGTATAAATAAAGTCACACATAATAAAAGATAAGAGAAATGTTATTGATAGAGAAGTAATTTCAGAAAGGTCTTTAAATATTGATATGAAATTATGTTCAAGATATTGTACTAAGTGAATATAAGGTACAGAACAATTTACAAAATATGCCATCACTTGAACAACAAAATGACATGAAACTTATATATAGATTTGTTTGTTTTTACATTTATACATATAAATGTAAATACAATATATATTATATATATGTTATATGTATATAAAATAATATATATTTTTTTCTTTTGGAGATATATTGTGTAAATACAAACAAATATATATATATATATATATCCCAGCCATGGAAGTTGCCTGTGAAGAGCAGAACTAGACAGTTGGGGATATCTTTCAGAAAGAGCTTACACTTTCATTTCAAAGTGTGAACCATTAAACACACACACACACAGATGAAAACACACACACAAACACACACACACAAAGTGTGAACCATGTGACTATATTGTCTAATCAATAAATCTCTTTTAAAAAGTAAAGAGGAACGGTTGAAAAGCAGATATGTATATTCAGATTTGTACCTTAGAAGACTGTCGTTTTCCAATCAGAGGATAATTTCTATGTAACTAGAGGTAGACACCATTTACAACATCAGGTAATGCACATAGGAGCACGTGTAGATCAGGATGTATCTGAAGTAAAGCCTTCGGTTAGTGGACACAGAGCACCACATGACCACATCTCTACATGGTGAATGGTTTTGCTCTTAGGTGGCTTTCCCTAGAGTCTTTCTTTTACCATATCAGTAATCGTTACGTCAATATGTTACCTGACAGTTGTTAAAGAAGGCATCACTTTTCAACAATGTTAGCATTTGTGTAAATGTGATTAGCATAAAATATTAGAGATTTTCCTTAAACCTGGCCAACTCACAGCTCACTTTGGAACTGCTAACAGAGGTTGCAGTGAAATACACAAAAGCCTTCAGAAAAAAGAAGTTCTTACATAGAAAGATGGAGCCCAAGGGTTAGTCATGCATGTTTATCCAACATATTTTTAAAATCATTCGGAGACATTCCCATGAAACACATATTTAAGTTCTACCTTCAAAATTTTAATCCTTAATCTTTCAATACTTCCATGGATTTAAAAATGACTCAATTGTTTTGTTTCTTAATGAACAAGCATAGGGAAAAGAAGAGAGAGAGGCAAACCAAGAAACAGACTCTTAACTACGGAGAACAAACTGATGGTTACCAGAGGGAAGGTGGGGCCGATGAGATGGACAGGGGCGCTTGTGAAGAGCACTGGGTGTTCTTTGTAAGTGTCCAATCACTTATTTGTACATCAGAAACTAATATTACACTGTATGTTAACTAATATATTTTTAAGATTTTATTTATTCACTTAGAGAGAGAGAGAAAGAGAAGTGAGGGAGGGGCTGAGGGAGAGAGACAATCCCAAGCAGACTCATTTCCCCAACCAGCGCAATGCAGGGCTGACATGAACGTGAGATCATGACCTGAGCCAAAATCAAGCAGTGGTCACTCAACCAGCTAAGCCATCCAGGTGCCCCTTAACTAATTGTTATTTAAATAAAAACAAAAACGAGGCACCTGGGTGGTGCAGTGGGTTAAGCATCCAACTCTTGGTTTCAGCTCAGGTCATGACCTCAGGGTCGTGAGAATGAACTCCGCACTCAGTGGGGAGTCTGCTTGGGATTCTCTCTCTCTCTCCCACTGTCCCTCCCTCTGCTCAGTCTCTCTCTTTCTCCCAAATAAATAATTAAATCTTTTTAAGAAATTACTGAAAAGCTAAAGTGAACAAACACAAAATAAAACGTCATACCTGTGACCAAGTCACGAAATGAATTATAAATTCATCTGAAACACATGATGAAATAGACATTTTCTGGTTTCTTGACTGAGAGCTAGTCATAGGGACCAATGTTTCTCATCAGTTTCAAGGATCTTACTGGAAATTTACACTCCTGGAATTCGACTTCTTCACACGTTGACTGAAAGTCTTACCTGAGCAGGTAACTTTAGCTTCTTCATAGTGATCACAGCTAAGGCCGCCCCACTGCCAGTTCTGGCAGTCCCAAAGAGACGATTCATTTCCAACACAGCTGCTTAAAAATAGCCATGTATCTGTTGCCTTAACTTTGGAATAACTCTGATAGGACGTTTTGAGAGCAGATCCACATCCCAAATGCCTGCAAACCACATCGGCTTCTTTCAGTCCCCAGCCTCTGTCACATACTTTCCCTAGCAGCTTCTGAATTTCCACCTCCACTGTCCCGGCACAGCGGCTGCCTCCACCAACAAGTCTCAGCTCCAGATCGGATCCATCTGCAAAAGAAACAAAAACTTAGTCCATAGAGACATATGGAGGTTAGCAACCAAAGGATAGAGTTTTTGTTTGTTGGTTTTTATCTTGCTCCTTCCCAGATACGGAGGCATTGGAAATGATGACTTATCCATCTCCTGACTTTTTTTAACAGCCAGTATAGGCCATGAGTTCGGTTAGAAACAGGATTATAGTTGCAAGGGTTAATAAAAACTGTTGATGGCAGAAAAATATGAGCAAGTCAGAGATTTGTTAAAAAGACATAACATTCTGTGTCTCGGTCTTAGAATCTGAAATGTGGTCCCTAAGAGCAGCCTGAATAATTACTACAGAAACTAATTAGACCCTCCAAACTAGTCAAATAAAGAATGGGGACATCTGGGTGGCTCAGTAGGTTGAGTATCCAACTCTTGGTTTCAGCTCAGGTTGTGATCTCAGATCTGTGATCTTGGGATCCTGATCTTGGGGTTGTGGGATCAAGCCCCAGTGTGGAGTATGCTTGTGGATTCTCTCTCTCCCTCTCCCTCTGCCCATATTCTCCAAATGATGATAGATAGATAGATACATAAACTCTTTTTAAAAAGAAAGGAAAAAAAAAGAATGTGTTTAAGATTCCTTACAACAAGGAAATGATTAGTTATCTCTATCTCTCCCATCTTGCCCATTCCTACTACTAAAGAACACAGGTCTTTCCTTCTCTGTTTTTCTTTTTATTTTAACTTACCAGAACATGTCACACCAGCATCTTCATTATGATTGCAATAATGTTTTCCCCATTCATGGTGTCTACACTGCCAGAGAGCAGATTCGTGTCCGTGGCAGGAAACACTGTCAAGCCAAATGTGTCCCGTTCCCTCACTGGTGTTAACTCGACCAGTGGCGGTGATGGCAGTTGGGCATCCCAGTTGCTTACATACGACAGCGGCATCATGACTATCCCAGCCATCATCACACACTGTCCCCCATTCCCCTTGGAATTTTACTTCTAATCTTCCTGAACATTCAGTGACTCCATCTACTAGTCTCAAGCTGAGATCTGCTCCATCTGTAAGAGAGGCACAAAACAAATCATGATAAAGAAACAAAAATAAGGGAGGACTCTAAGTAGGGACAGAGAAAACATATAATAACACTGGAAATCATTAAAGGTGGAGAAATAGTAGCTTGGGCAAGAAGACAGGACTTTTCAGAATGGCTAGTATCAAAAAGATAAGAAATAACAAGTCTAGCGAGGATGCGGAAAAAGGAGAACCTTCTTGTACTGTTGGTGGGAAAGAAAACTAGAGCAGCCACCATGGAAAACAGTATGGAGGTTCCTCAAAAAATTACAAATAGAACTACCTTATGATCCAGGAATTGCACTACTGGTTATTTTCCAAAAAAATACAAAAACACTAATTTGAATGGATCTATGAACTTCTATATTTATAGCAACATTATTTATGATAGGCAAATTATGGAAGCAGCCCTTGTCCATTGATAGATAAACAGATAAAGAAGGTATGGTGTGTGTGTGTGTGTGTGTGTGTGTATAGTGGAATATTATATTATATATTATGTTATAATATATAATATACTATATATTTAATATACAATATATTATAATGGAATATTATTCAGCCATAAAAAGAATAAAATCTTGCCATTTGCAATAACATGGATGGAGCTAGACAGTATAATGCTAAGTAAAATAAGTTAGTCAGAGAAAGACAAATATCATATGATTTCATTTACATATGGAATTTAAGAAACAAAACAAATGAGCAAAGGGGAAAAAAGAGAGAGAGAGGCAAACCGAAAAGCAGACTCTTAACTATAGAGAAATGATGGTCGCCAGAGGGGAGGTGGAGGAGAGGATGGGTGAAACAGGTGAAGTACACTTATCATCATGAGCACTGAGTAATGCATAGGATTGTTGAATCACCAATTTGTACACTTAAAACTAATATAACACTGTATGTTAACTATACTGGAATTTAAATAAAACACTTAATAAAAAAGTTAAAAATATAAATACCATATAATCCCATAATTTCACTAATGGCTATTTACCCAAAGAAAATGCAAATGCTAATTTGAAAAAATACATGTACTTCTATGTTTACTGAAGCACTATTTACAATAGTCAGGATTTGGAAGTCAGCCCAAATGTCCATCTATAGATGAATGGATAAAGAAGATGTGGTGTATATATACGATAGAATATTACTCAGCCATCAAAAAGAATGAGATCTTGCCATTTGTAACAACATGGATGGACCTATAGGGTATAATGTTAAGTGAAATAGCACAAACAAAGAAAGACGAATATCATATGATTTCATTTGTATGTGGAATCTAAAAAACAAAACAAATGAATAGACTCTTAACTGTAAAGAACAAACTGGTGGTTGACAGAAGAGAGGTGGGGGGATCAAGAAGTACAAACTTCCGGTTATAAAATAAATAAGTCAGAGAGATAAAACGTAAAGCATAGGGAATACAGTCAATGACACTGTAATAACTCTGTATGGTGGCAGATGGTGACCACACTTACTGTGTGAACAGCGAGTAATTTATAGAGTCATTGAACCAATGTGCTGTACGCCTGAAACTAATATAGCATTCATGTCAATGATGCTTCAATAATAACTTTTTTAGAAGAAGGAGACAGGACTTTTCAGTACAGAGAACACGTACTATTAAAAAGAATTCCTGGGGCACCTGGGTGGCTCCATCAGTGAAGTGTCTGACTTTGGCTCAGGTCATGTCTTGGGGTCCTGGGATCAAGCCTGATGTAGGGTATTGCACTCAATGGAGAGTCTGCTTCTCCCCTCTCCCTTTGCCGCTCCCCCTACTCTCAATCTATCAAATAAATAAATGAAATCTTAAAAAAAAAAAAAAAGAAAGTAAAAATTTCCTAATGAGATCCAGGGGCTACATTTTATCTAGAGATTTGTTTGACTATCACAGAGTTTTTATTTGAATTATTTGTTTTTTCTTGCTAAATCCATATTTGCATGCATTCAGGGGGTATGTACACACTCCTGGTTGCCCAGGACTCAACACTGACTTCTGCCTCTGACTCCTTAAGTATCTGTAACTACCCAGTTTGCATTAAACGCCTGGTCCCTTTGTGACCACTTCCTTAGTCTAAAAGCAAGCAAAGAGAAAAGGGGACCTCAGCATTACCACTTTCACCTCCCCCAGTCAATATTCCTCAGAGAACAGAGCTTGATCTTGAGCAATGTCTTATAATAAATAACTTGCCCCTTCCTTCTGGCAGTTTTAGCATTTGCTGCCCCAGTACTGTTTGCTGTGAGTGCTAAGCATTGAGAAGAAATGTGCTGACTGGGGACCTGGAAAGATTTTGGTGGGGAAAGGAGAATGGAAGGTAAGTCCTGTGCTCTTTTAGATCCCCAGTCCCTATGCTTTCTTCAGCTAACAAATTCCATCTCTTCTGTAGGAATTTCATTCTTTGTAGTGCAAATAATAGATGGTCATGTTGTCCAACAACAACAAAGGCCAATGTAAGAAACAGAAAAAGAGCCAGAACCCCCATGACACTGTGTAAGTGTTTGAGTGCCCCCGTGCTTGCAGCCAAGCATACCCTCTCAATTTGCCAGTTTTCTGAGTCAGTATCCTCTTTCCTTAAAGTCAGTTAGTTAGTTAAAGTTTGAATCAAGTTTTCTTGATTGGAAAAAAAAGATATCTGGTGAATATGGAGACATTTTTACTCTATTATATTTTTCTGAATGTTCTCTGGGGTTCAGGACCTACTAGGTCAGCTTCAGACTAAGAACTTGGGTGAAAAAGGGGTGTCATCCCTGCACACACAAATTCAATGTCCCTGTCCCCTGAGCAAGCATGAAACACGGAAGTCTCTAGACACAGAGTCTGTTACTATCATAACACTAGCTTAAATGAGATTTTAACAGAAAACCAAACTATTTTTTATCATTTGATTCTGTGAATTTGAACTAATATTTTTGGGAAGGTGTGGATTAAGCTCTTTGCAGGGAGAGGATGATAAGGAGTGTGATTCATTTTTAAAACTCATCCCCAAAGTAGAATTTGCTAGTTAGGCTGTTTTTTTCCCCCTCTTTTTCTTTCTTCTCTTTTTTGGGGGGGTTGGGGTGAAGAAGGAGGACTGGGGTATTCTCCAAACACCTCCTTCTATCCTCATGACTGGCATCTCAGTTTCACTGTTCATCCTTCCTCCCTAACCTAGTTATTCTCCTTTCAGTTAAGGTAAAATCTCCACAGGTATCAGGTGGGGAACCTGAAATTAGGTCATAATAAGATGATGGAGGAAGCAGGTCTCAATCTGTTTTTAAGAGTTCAGGCTTTTCAGACTCTCATTCCCTTTCTTTTGTCCTCTCAGAAAGAACAGAACAAACCCGGACCAGTCCTTACCCATGCAAATCACTCCAACGTCCTCAGAGTGATCACAGTTATGCTTTCCCCATCCTTCGTGTTTGCAGTTCCAGAGAGCTGACTCATTTCCACTGCATATAAGATCATCAAACCAGATTGGTCCAGAACCTTCTCCAAAATTAGCTGAACCAGAGAAACTGACAGCACTTCCACATTCGAGCTGTTTACAAACCACAGACGCATGATCTATGTTGAAGTTATCATCACACACTGTTCCCCACTGTCCTTCGAACTTGACCTCTATTCTTCCAGAACACTGGTTTCCTCCATTCACCAGCCTCATCTTCAAATTGGATCCATCTAGAGCAGAGAAAAGACAAGAGTTCAGAAGTCATACTCATTCAGAAGTGACTTTAGGAAAGAAGATTGCTCCGGGTGTTTGAGATTTGATGCTGTCCTTAAAAATGGTGCCTCATTTTGGATGTTACCCATCTTTACATATTGGGAAATTTTAATTATTTAAAGACCAGCTAACAACTAGCACTTTCATCTATACCTACTCACCAAGGAAAATGTTTTACAGATTAAAATTTTCTTTCTCCTTTATTTCCTTCCATTATTAAGACAAAGTAAGCATCCTTTTATATATTCTATATTTTTATTTTATATTTTATATATTTTATATATAAAATATATATTTTATATTTTATATATATTTTATTTTATATATTATATAAAATATATTCTATTTTTTATATAGAAATTGGTCAATTTGACTTAAAGCACTTATTTTAAAAAACTAGAGAAAATAAAATTAGCTCATCCAACAAAGTAGCAAAAATGGCAAACTGAGGTCAAGTATAAAATTAGAAAACAGGAAAAAGGGAAAAATAAAAATGCCTAAGCATGCACAATAGTTTGCAAATCATCCTATGGTATACCAAATTAATAAAAATTAAGGAAAAATAAATCAAAATAATCCATTTCTTATCCATCTCCTGTTTGAATCAAAGCTTCCCCTCCCCCAATGCATCTGGTACCATTTTTAGCAAAGAACAGCTTTTTCATAAAGGAAAATCTCTCTATACACTCTTCCCTAGATTTTCTATGAGGACTACAATACCTAAGAAAAGGAGATGTGGGATGAAATCTGGGGACACTTGAAAAACAAAAACTATTTGGGCTTGAACAAAATTTTAGAGGCTTTCTTTTTGAGAAAGGGAGTCGCTTTTAAAAGCTCTAAATACCAGACAAAGACCTCTTACTTAACAGGATTTTTTTTTTTTTTACTCTGGACAATTAATAATCATAAAAGCAATAGTTCACAATTAAAATATGCATCTGGCGCTCCAATGTATCTCCTATGCTATCAATCTTCACAGCACTGAGCATTTTGTATTATTCCCACTAGCCCTACTTCACAGATAAGTATTCTCGGTATGCCTAATCATCACAGGGTCACCCATCCAGAAAAGAGCAGAGCTAGGAGGTGAAAAGAAAAAGCAGTCTAACACCAGCGTTTATTGTCCTGACTGCTATACTATATTGTCCCTGTGTGTGTGATAATAGCAAAACCTCCCAAGAGATAGAGGCTCTGAGCATTAAGCATTAGATACAGCCTCTGAAATCTCATGAAACTAGGGAGTCCTTGGGTGGCTAGGCATACACCAGTTGGTACATTCACTGTATAAACTTCAAAAAGCAAATTTGATTAAATCTATCCTGAAGTATGAAAAAACAGAAAACAAGAGTTTAAAGTGCTACACTGATATCTTAGCTGAAACTGTTGGCTCTGTAGGCTGCAATAATTCTAGTAAGGGCCTGGAAAGAGTTGTTTGTTTGTTTGTTTGTTTTTTAAGATTTTATGTATTCATTTATTTGAGAGAGAGAGAGTGTGGAGAGGAGGAGCAGATGGAGAGGAACAAGCAGACTCTGTGCTGAGTGTGAAGCCAGACCCCGGGCTCCATCCCACCACCCCAAGATCATGATCTGAGCCAAAACCAAGAGTCTGATGCTCAACCAACTGAGCCACCCAGGTTCCCTGAGCCTGGCAAGACTTATTATGATTTTTAAATTTGCTGTAGATGTTACTATTGTTATTCCCTATCTTTCTGGTGTAATGATTAAAAATAAAAAATTAGAAGAGGGAGGAGGGGGAAGAGGAGGAATGGGGAGTGCAGGGATGAAAGGATGGAAGAAGAAAAAGGTAGAGCTCTACGTGTATTAAAGCACCGAGTTTTCAGAAACTGAAGTTTAAAAAAAATTTAAGAACTTTGCTCAAAATAACATTCATGAGTGGCTGAGCTGGAATTTAGTTCCACATTTTTCTAGATACAAGCCTGTGTTGTTCCCAATACACCCTAACGCCTGGGGAGAGATGAGTCCTTTCTAAAAATCAATCCCATAGAGGAGACGGTTTCTGAGAAGGGGGCTAGGAGAGAGAGGCCAGTGAAATGAACAAGGAGAAATGGGAAGCCCAAGAATCTGAATTGGGTCATAAATATGACCTTGGGATTTATAGCAGAAAGGTCTGACACAGAACTTTCTGAGTTATTGTAAGGTCAACTGAGATGAAATTGTTGAAATGTTTTATAAATCAAAACCACCATGGGGCACCTGGGTGGCTCAGTCGGTTAAGCATCTGACTCTTGATTTTGGCTTAGCTCGTGATCTCAGGGTCCTGGGATCAAGCCCTGTGTTGAGCTCTGCCCTCAGGGAGGGGGGCTATTTGAGAATTCTCTCTATATTCTCTCTCCTTCTCCCTCTGCTCTCCCCCAGCTCTCTCTCTCTCTTTCTCACAAATAAAATAATCTTAAACCTCCCCCCCCACACACACAACAATTCACCATTAAATGAAATGAACAGCATTATTTACTGAAAAAAGCAATTATACTTGGCCAAACATCCTTCCTTCAACAAAGGATTAGTGCTAGGAATATTTATTTCTCAATTCAGTAAGTTGATTATCAGGGAATGGACAAAAAGGTCTAAGCCCAAAAGCAGTACATTACTGAGAAAGAGGACAAAGAATTCACTTAGATATGATATTTTTAAGTAGGAGTAGAGACTTACAGTAAGATTACTGACTGTAAAATGAGGCTGGTCACTTCCTCATTGATTGTGGTATTCATAATCTCTTTTGATTTCTTTTCAATGGGGTTTGTCATGCATCTTCCAGTCTTTTGGCAACGGTTTGGGTGATTTTATATAGGAAACAGACGACTTACAGAAAACTGGCTCCTTTTCATTTTTAACCCATCTACATATTTCTCCCCCACAAAGCATTTCATGTCGAGGCTTTGACTTTCACAAGTCCTACCTGAGCAGGTTATTACAACATCCTGCTGATGAGTGCAGTTATGCTTTCCCCATCCATCATGTTTGCAGTCCCAGAGAGCAGACTCATTCCCTCGACAAGAGACATGATCCATCCAGATGTGTCCAGAGCCCGCCCAGGAATTAGTCCATCCGGTGGCTTTGACAGCAGTGGGACATCCCAGCTGCCTGCAAATCACAGAGACCTCATCCATGCCCCAGCCATTATTGCACACTGTTCCCCATTCCTCCTGGACTTTCACCTCCACTCTCCCGGTGCACTTGTCTTCACCATCCTTGAGCCTCAGCTCCTTCTCTTCTCCCCCTGCAACAATGCGTAAAGACAGCCATCGGTCGGGATCCAAAGAGCACGTGGAGAATTATCATTCTTAGATTATTTATTTATTTTTCAAAGCCAGATTTTGAGAAACATTCCCAGACTCATCCATGGTATAATAGGAGAATGCTATTTCATGGGTACCCAAGTACAAATATCAGCATCACAGGCTTCAGATGAAGCAAGGACATAAAACAAGTTAAGCTAAGTAATGCAATAATGCCGATTTATATAATCTCCATAGAGAGCTTACTATGTAAATAATATATTACAAAATTTTATAGGTACCAGCCATGTAAGTTTCTCCAAATTCCTAAGATGGATAGAAAGAAGGCTCCTGATGAGGATGAAAAAACCAGTCTTAATTTAATGCCTATTATACACATATAGGGAAAACATCAAGAATTTTTAAAAATACTAGTTGAAGTCTGGCTGAAGCTTTTCTACTTAAATGGAAGTCGAGATGGAGGTATTTTCCTATTACCTCCTATCTTGAAAAAAATCCCTCACCCTCCCCCAAACTACCCCCCTCAAATGTCTCAGCTACCATCCTACAATTACTTTAACATAGGAACCTGTGGTCTCACTGATGTCTATCTGGCCTCCCTCAATACATTTTAAGGTAAATTTTGACACTGAATTTATTAAAGTGTTCCTCAAATTCCATTTCATCCGAATAATTCTGAGTTTTTTCCTCCTCTATATTGCTCCCTATTTTTTAGGTAGACATATTTTAAATCCTTAAGCAAAGTGAACATTTTTTTCCTGTGAAAGTTTATTTTATTTTGGGGGAAACCATGCTATTTTGTTCATATTTTGGTGTCACATGGTTAGGACCTATTTTCTGCTTTTAATGTCTGATCCTTTGAAATCACGAAGCATGTTTTCATGAAGCATTATTTGCATTTGACAAAGCACTCACCGAGAGAACTGGTGATCAAACAGGCACCAAGGACTGAGACCACAGCCACAGTGGAGGGACTCAAGAGGGTGAAACATCTTCTACAGTCTGTGAAAAAAAAAAAAAAAAAGGAAGAAAAGGACAAAAGTATTGCCTTCCCAAAAAGAGGCTTTGGAGAAGACAGATGGTTTCAGAGATTCAAGGTTAGCAAGAAAAGTCAAAATGGCAAGGTGGACAGGAAATATTCATACCCAGGATCACATAGTCTCAGTGAAATAGCTTTGGAAATGTTCATGTTTACAGGCAACCTAGGGGTGAGGAATTAGGAGCAAGTTACATATGGAAAAGAATTTCAAGAGCAGACCTTAAAACCTGGAAAATCGAAAAAGCACGGATGAAGATTAGCAGGGGCACAGAATGATAGTCAACTACTAAGATCTCCAAGCCCACTGGATCCAGATGGTTAAGTTCCAGGAGGGAACAGATTCTTTGTATCAAGGTCAGCTCTGCTTCACCAGTACTGACACCGTGTCTGTTAAACAGTAGCTGAACACTGATGGACTAAAGTGACAATGTTTATATGTGAAAAACTAAGTTACTGGATCTTATCCCTAGATAGAGCATAAAGCTCTAAAGCTTTTAATACTCTCACTTGTTATTCTTACTCTAACCTGACATAAAAGCTAGCACGTGTTGGTGGCCACACAGGAGCACACACTTTGGGATAAGTCACTGAAGTGTGCCCTTAGGACACACTTTCATGTGGTATGCTATACTGCGATTAAAAAGCTTAGAAAAAAGGGCCTCTCGGTGGTTCAGTTGGTTAAGCATTGGCCTTCGGCTCAGGTTGCAATCCTGGGGTCCTGGGATCGAGTCCCCAATCAGCCGGCTCCCTGCTCAGCAGACAGTCTGCTTCTCCCTCTCCCTCTCCCACTGTTCATGCTCTCTCTCTCTCTCTCAAATAAAGAAATAAAATCTTTTTTTCAAAAGAAAAGCTCTGAAAAAAATTTTAAATGCTAAATGAGTCTAACGCATCCATATAAATCACAAAGCAGATTTTAACACTCAGGGATGCTATTCTAAATTTCCCTAAGTGATCAACTTGTAATCAATATTCATTCTTGTATGATCTGTCTATGTTTTCTAACAATTGTTGCTTTCCTACTCAATCTGGTTCAGTTCATTTCAACTCCTTTCTTAGTTTCACCTCAGCAATTTTACAAAACTGATGCCAAATAATCTTTTTTGGTGCCAAATCTAATCTTTATCCCCCATATTCAATTCTGAATCTATGGCAGATACAAGTTACTGCTATAAAAGCTTAATGACCACTTCCCATTCCTTACATTCCCAATGCCAATCACTATTAAATAAGATTCACTGACTGTTAACTTCATACTACATTTAAAGGTAAATGTAGAATAAATGAGAAGAGTTTACCAGCAGATCCAGAGTTTCCATGTGGGACCATTCTGAGTTTGTCCAGTCCAAAGTTCTAATGATTTCTAAATCTTCTTGTATTTTTCTTTAGAAATGTTCTGCTAAAGAGGAGGACCACTAAGGCTTCTAAAAATCATCTCACTTCCACAAAACAAAACAAAACAAAAAACCAGAAAGGCTACATAATGGAGGTGGAGTCAGTCAATAAAAAAAGGGAAGTCATTCATAAACTGAGGTTCCCTTTCACACTCATGTTTTCTTCAATATGGGATATGAAACAACCAAAAGAAAGTGAGAAACATTTACTACAGATTTATAGAAATTGAGGGGAAATATTAACTCATGTCCTATTGTTATTGAAATGAATATTTAGATTTCAGTACTGTGTTTTGAACTAATAGAAACAAAAATGACAATCATTATGTAGTTATGTCAAAAAACTAAAGTGAAATAAGCAAAGCATAATTAAATAATGTTTTATTATAAATCACTTGTAATACTATTACTATAATCAAATGTGCCAAATGAATAATTTTCTATAGACTATGTATAGAACTTGCTTTTTCTTTTCTAATGAAATGAAGAGCAGCAATAAAATTAGCCATGACCATTATGGAGTCTGCAAATGGTGCAATACAAATTTACAAGACATAATTTAAGCTCTAAATATCTCAAATTCAAGTGACAGAAATAAATACATTAGCAATAATAAGCAGAAGTTCAAAGCAAAAGGTGAAAAATAGAGAAAAATATGGTTATATCAACTGGGAGACAGGAATGAACAGTCAGAAAACTCTTTTCTGTGAGAAGATGCTTAAATTATGTCCTGAAATATGAGAAGGGATTTGCCTCAAAGAAAAAAGATAAAGGGATTTAAGACATAAGAAAAAACACATATAAAACAACACAGCCATGTGAAAACATGGAAATTTGATGGTCCATGGTGGCATAAATATTCTCAGGTATTAGTGGTGGGCCAGAAGAGGGGAGGATAAGAAGCATCACCAGTTTTACAAGGAGATACTCCCTATAATCTGCAACAAGGGCATGCTGGCGTCTTTCCATTTCTTGGACATAACTAACCTCTTACACATATTGTTCCTTCTGTGTGTATTGCTTCCCACCACTGTCTCTTGCATGAGCTAACCCTTACTCATCCAACTTTTATTTCTTAATTAAACACCACTTCGCTAGGAAAAAGAACCTTAACCTTGAATTATTCAGGAAAATGTGTGCTCCATGGTAACCTGTACTTTGGAGATCATAACTTATACTTTTTATAATTATTTATTGTTCATATTACTTGTTGGTCTTAAAACACCAAGGAGAGGAAGTGTGTCTTCTTTTTCAGCAAGACATCCATCAGCCCTTGCCAAAGGGTAGGCACTTGATAATACCTATTTTTTTTGTTATTGTGAAAAACGTTGTTGATAATGCTGCTACTGTTGCAGAGATAAACTGCTACATGAAGTTTACATGAAGAAAGGCATCCTGTACCTTATGTTATAAAGTCCTATGCCTTGGCATGGGAACTCTCTTGAGGCAGTAAACTAGAGCAACTATGGGACTTGTTAGTTTCTCATCTCTCACGGATCACTGACTCTTGTTGCCTATTTCGTCTGTTTTTCAGTTATTTCTGGTGGGAGAATAAATGCACTTCCTTTTTCTTCCTTCTTAATGGAAGCAGAAATTTTTTGCACACTAAGATTTTTATCTTTTGAATTTTGCACTGGTCTAGTCCTTCCACTCTGCTACTTTTTTTTTTTTTCAATTAGACTTTTCTTATAATCTTAACAGATTTAAAAAATAACATTCTACCTTCACTGCATTTTACTCTTGCCCTCATTTCTATTACCACCCCTGCCTCCAATCATCTTCAATATTGCTACCAATAGTAGTATTTACAATAGTAAAATGTAAAACACGAAACATCTTAGGATGCTTGGGTGGTGTCGTTGGGTAAGCATCCAACTCTTGGTTTCAGCTCAGGTCATGATCTCAGGGTAGTAAGACTGAGTCCCACATTGGGCTCTGTGATCAGTGGGGAGTCTGCTTGAAGATCTCCACCTTCTGCCCCTCCCCTCACTTGCTCTCTTTCTCTAAAGTAAATAAATAAAACTTTAAAAACACATCCAAAAAACATCTTTTTGATACTTTAATTTTGAAAAACATTTACTGTCATTATTTATCTATATATAACCTGTACTTTGAAAATGGTAACTCATACTTTATATAATTATTTTTCATCTTACTTTAGTCAATATACCAAGGATAAGAAGAGTGTCTTCTTTTTCAACAAGTTGAATATATGACTCCTCTATTTGTTATTTCTTGTGACTTTGATTTTTTCCCTTTGCCCTTCAATCCTGCTGCCTGCACCTTTTTCTCTCCCCAGCCCTTGTCATGGACCAACACTCCAGTATTTGATGCAGATCCTCAAATACGCATACACACAGCCTTGTAAAATGAGCTTTGCCTGCTTGTGTTTTTAAATTACATAAATGATATGTTATAATTAAAAAGTAAAAGGGGAACCTGGATAGCTCAGTCAGTTAAGCATCTGACTCGATGTTGGCTCAGGTCATGATCTCAAGGTCATGAGACTGAGTCCCATGTTCAAGCATGGAGCCTGGTTGAGATTCTCTCTTTCTCCCTCTGCTCCCCCTCCCTCCCTCTCTAAAAAAAAATAAATAAGAAAAGATAATAGTAACAATAATAACACAAAGAATAAGTAGATAAATGGAAGAATATTATTATAAAATTTAGGTACTATACTTATAAAGTGGCAAAATATCTTTCGAAGGTAGACTATGCTGAGCTACATTGTATACTATAAACCTAAAAGAGCCACTAGAATAACAAAACAAAGAGTGGTAGCTAATAAGCCAACAAAGTAGATTAAGTGGAATCAAAGGTATTTAATCCAAAAGAAGCCATAAATAGAGAAAAAAAAAAGAATAAGAATTGATTGGACAAATAGAAAACAGAAAGCAAGATAATAGATTTGGACTCAAATATATTTATAATTACATTAAATATAAATGATTTAGGCACACCAAATTAAAAGGCAGAAATTAGCAGCTTGAATTAAAAAGCACAATTCAACTATACAATGCCTAAGTAATATAAAAAATAAAATAGGCTAAAAGTAAAATTATGAAAAAAGATATGCCATGCTAACATCAATGAAAAGAAAGGCAGAATAGCTATATTAGAATCAGTGAATGTGCATTTCAGAGCAAAAAATATTTCCAAAAAAAAAAAATATTTCCAGGGACAAAGAAAAACATTTCATAATAGTAAATGAGTCCATTTATCAAGAGTGCATATCAATCCTAAATGTTTATGAAATTAACATGAAAGCTTCAAAACCCACGAAGCAAAAACTTATAGAACTGCAAGGAGAAATAGCAGATCCATAATTATAGTAGGAGATTTCCATCTCTCTCTGTCAATAATTGATAGAACAACAGGCAGAAAATCAGTAAGAAGACAGTAGAATTAAACAAAATTATCAGTCAACTTAATCATGTAGAAGACAGTTTATTCAATAACTAGAGAATATAGGTTCTTTTCAAGTGCATGCAAAACATTTGCCTAGAAGATATTTCTGGACATATAAAATTTCTCAACACATTTAAAGTAATTCAAAACATACAAAATATCTTCTCTGATCACAATGGAATGAAATTAGGGGCTTCTGGGTGGCTCAGTCAGATAAGTGTCCAATTCTTGATTTTGGCCCAAGTCATAATCTCAGGGTCCTGGGATCCAGCCCTAAGACAGGCTCCCCTCCCAGTAGTGAGTCTGCCTGTCTCTCTCTCACTACACCACCTTCCCTAACTCCACCCTCTGCTCTCACTCTTTCTCTAAAATAAATAAATAAATCTTTAAAAAACCCAACAGACTGAAATTAAAACTCAATAACAAAAATATTTTGGAAAACTTTATTTATTTATTTATTTTTAATTTCTTTTCAGCGTAACAGTATTCATTGTTTTTGCACCACACCCAGTGCTCCATGCAATACGTGCCCTCTCCAATACCCACCACTTGGTTCCCCCAACCTCCCACACCCCACCCCTTCAAAACCCTCAGGTTGTTTTTCAGAGTCCATAGTCTCTCATGGTTCACCTCCCCTTCCAATTTCCCTCAGCTCCCTTCTCCTCTCCATCTCCCCTTGTCCTCCATGCTATTTGTTATGCTCCACAAATAAGTGAAACCATATGATAATTGACTCTCTCTGCTTGACTTATTTCACTCAGCATAATCTCTTCCAGTCCTGTCCATGTTGCTACAAAAGTTGGGTATTCATCCTTTCTGATGGAGGCACAATACTCCATAGTGTATATGGACCACATCTTCCTTATCCATTCGTCCGTTGAAGGGCATCTTGGTTCTTTCCACAGTTTGGCGACCGTGGCCATTGCTGCTATAAACAACGGATGGCCCTTCTTTTCACTACATCTGTATCTTTGGGATAAATACCCAGTAGTGCAATTGCAGGGTCATAGGGAAGCTCTATTTTTAATTTCTTGAGGAATCTCCACAGTGTTCTCCCAAGTGTCTGTACCAACTTGCATTCCCACCAGTAGTAGAAGAGGGTTCCCCTTTCTCCACATCCCTCCAACACATGTTTCCTGTCTTGCTAATTTTGGCCATTCTAACTGGTGTAAGGTGGTATCTCAATGTGGTTTTAATTTGAATCTCCCTGATGGCTAGTGATGATGAACATTTTTTCATGTTTTTCATGTGTCTGATAGCCATTTGTACGTCTTCATTGGAGAAGTGTCTGTTCATAACTTCTGCCCATTTTTTGGCATAATTATCTGTTTTGTGTGTGTTGAGTTTGAGGAATTCTTTATAGCTCCTGGATATCAACCTTTTGTCTGTACTATCATTTGCAAATATCTTCTCCATTCCGCGGGTTGCCTCTTTGTTTTCTTGACTGTTTCCTTTGCTGTGCAGAAGCTTTTGATCTTGATGAAGTCCCAAAAGTTCATTTTCGCTTTGTTTCCTTTGCCTTTGGAGACATATCTTGTTGAAGTTGCTGTGGCTGATATCAAAGAGGTTACTGCCTATGTTCTCCTCTAGGATTCTGATGGATTCCTGTCTCACGTTGAGGTCTTTTATCCATTTTGAGTTT